AATAAACCCAAGTCTCTATGGGCAACTAATATTTGACAGAGGGGGAAGAAGCATAAAATGGAGCAAAAATAGCCTCTTCAACAAATGGTGTTGGGAGACCTGGAGAGCTACATGAAAAAAAAATGAAATGCGACTACCAACTTACACCATACACAAAAATAAATTCAAGGTGGATAAAAGATTTAAATATAAGCTGTAACACCATAAAAGCCCTAGAGAAAAATATTGGCAGGAAATTCTCAGACATTTCACACAGCAACATCTTCACTGATATGTTCCCTAAAGCAAGGGACATAAAGGAAAGAATAAACAAATGGGACCTCATCAAATTAAAAAGCTTCTGCATGGCTAAAGAAAACAGCATTAAAATGAAAAGAGTACCAACTATATGGAAAAACACATTTACCAATGATACCTCAGAGAAGGGTTTGATCTCCAAAATATATAAGGAGCTCACATGACTCCACCTCAGGAAGACAAAAAACCCAGTTAAAAAATGGGCAAAAGACTTGAACAGACATTTCTCCAAGGAGGACATACAGAGGGCCCAGGGACATATGAAAAGATGCTCAGCATCACTAGCCATCAGAGAAATGCAAATTAAAATGACAATGAGATACCACCTCACACATGTCAGAATGGCCATCATAAACAAATCAACAAACAAGTGTTGGAGAGCATGCAGAAAAAAGGGAGCCCTAGTGCACTGTTGGTGGGAATTCAGACTGGTGTAGCCACTGTGGAAAACAGCATGGAATTTCCTCAGAAAACTAAAACTGGAATTGCCTTTTGACCCAACTATTCCACCGCTGGGATTATACCTCAAGAGCCTTTAAACATGAATCCAAAAGAAGTTATGTATCACAATGTTCAAAGCAGCACAATTTACAGTAGCCAAGTCTGGAAGCAACCTAAGTGCCCATCCGTAAATAAGTGGATCAAAAAACAATGGTACATTTGCACAATCCAATTCTACACAGCAGAGAGAAAGAAGGAGCTCCTGCACTTTGCGAGAATATGGATGGAACTAGAGAGCATTATGCTAAGTGAAATAAGCTAGGTGGTGAGGAACAAAGATTATATGATCTCACCTTTAACTGGAATATAATCAACAAAAGAAAAAAAGCAAACAAAATATAACCAGAGACATTGAAATTCAGAATCTGACAATAGCCAGAGTGGAGTGGGGAGGGGACAATGGGGGGAAGGGTTAGGGAGGAGGGCAGGGAGATAGGTGGGATTGACTGGGGTAGGGGAAAGTGGTGGGTTGTAATGCAGACAGCTGTAATTGAACAACAATAAAGTAATTTAAAGAAATCCATAGAAATTTGGCTCATAATTTTTACTTCAGGGCATAACTTTATTAGGTTTATAGGTGTATGCTGTGTACATTATGTCATTTTCTCTTTTCTTTCTTCTTGAGGTATATTCATACAGGTCATCTGTTTATTTTATAATAAAAATATTATAACATAATAGTAGTAATAATAGTATCTTTGAATATACCAAATATTTTAAAGGAGATTGTGGAGAAGGAACTAGGGATAATAGTGAAGTGAAAAGTTGAATTTTAGAATGTTGTCTTCAAAATGTTTTGTTGGTGTGATTTTTCTTCTGTGATGCTGTATTAATTTCTGACTCAGAGCAGTTGATAGTTGTTAATTTTTTCATATTTTTTATGATTTATACTTTTTTTCTATCTAATGGGAATTATCTGCTATCTGGCTGCTTGCCTCTTCCTCTTCCCCTGAGTTTTTGTTCATTAAAACACAAACATGGCCTAATTATTCCAGTGGTGGTTTATCTGCATTTTCCCTTTCAGATCCTTTTCCCCACAACTCTTCAACACTTCTGTTCCAATCCAGGTTCACTAGCTTTGTATTATGGTACCCACCTCTTTTTGAGACTGCTGGAGGTTCCTGACTACCCCAAGATCTTTTTTTAAAAAAGATTTTATTTATTTATTATTTTTAGAAAGAGGGGAAGTGAAGGAGAAAGAGAGGAAATGAAACATCAATGTGTGGTTGCCTCTCATGTCCCCCTACTGGGGACCTGGCCTGCAACCCAGACATGTACCCTGACTGGAAATTGAACTGGTGATGCTTTGGTTTGCAGGCCCACACTCAATCCACTGAGCTACACCATCCAGGGCTACCCTAAGATCTTTAGTGGCTTGTATTTTACTTCAGTGTTTTTGCTCTTGACCTGTTTCCATTTTTGTTACACATACATTTTTCTTCACATGTAGTTTGGAATTATAGATATATTTCCTGGTCTTTCTAAGGATGGAATTCACATTTATGTTTTTTTCTCTTGGTTTATAGGAAAAGGGAGAAAAAACTTAAGTGTGGAATACAAGAATGGAGGTATACATTTATTTTATACAATTGAGGTTGACCTACAGCTTTATTTTTGTAGTTGTATTTGTCTAAAATTTGAATTTATCAATATGTTAGGTAACATTGACTTTTCAGAGTCCAGAGTGCTAACCATTACACAATGGAGCCTAACATTGACTTTTCTATAAGAAGTTAGCTGTAGGTGATGTTGCATCCAGCAAACTCAAGAATGAATATTGGAGACTTTCAGGGTACCAAAGATGTTACTTTATTGGCCAAGTTTAACCTGCGCAGGGGCGAACTCTCCAAACGTGCCAGAGGCACACGGCTATTAGGAGCCACAACTGAGAGCCGCGCCCAGCGCTTACAACTACGTCCTTATATATGGGCAGGTAAGCAAGCGTTATACAGAAGCAGACGTGGCAGTTAGTAATTCGCTTACAAAGACCGCACAGCGGAATTTCAAACCAAGCATTCTTTCATAAGGCGGGAAAGCTGTTTGTTCATTAACCTAGTAATCTGGCTCCAGCCAGCTAGCCTTCTATCTTCTTACTAAAAAAAACTACAAAGCACTGCTTATCTAGCCTTCCCTGGGGGAGAGCGTCTGCTAGATACAGGGAGCTCTGCTTACTGTACTCTGTCTCTTTTATCATTTCTTATTTTAGCTACAATGTAGTTCTCGCCTATTAAGGTTAAACTTAGTTCTTAATTTCCTTGTTCCCAACAGTCCCCCGTTTTCTCTTGGGGGTAATCAAACCATTGATTCACCACTTGGAAGGATGGTATAGGGCTGGGACAGTACCATTAGCTTAACTACTTCTATCCTTTCTTTAATGAAATTAAGTAACTTATTTAGTATAAGGGGCCCAAATATAAGGGCTATAACTATTAATAGTAATGGACCTGCTACTGCAGATAGCAGAGTGGTTAGCCAAGGAGATAGTCTAAACATAGAGGCATACCAGTTTGTATCCTCATCTTCTCTTGATCGGTCTTTTAATCTTTTTTGTTAAGGTTTTGATATTTTCTTTAATAACACCAGAGTGGTTAGCATAGAAACATTCTTCCCCTAGTGCTGCACACAATCCTCCTTGTTGTAAAAATAGGAGATCTAAGCCTCTCCTATTCTGTAGTGCTACTGCTGCAAGGGAGTCTACTTGTCTCTCTAAGTATACTATTTGATCTTGGAGCAGAGTGATGTCTTTTGAGAACGTTTGGGATAGTTGCCTGAGACTTGTTTCACCTTTCACTAGGGCAGTGGTTCCTACAACAGCTGATCCTGCTATCCCTAAAGTGGCTAGGATAGGGATCAACAGTGGGGTTCTTTTTACTCTCTCTGAGGAGTCAGTTAAGAACTCAGGGTTACCTCCATATAGATACACCTGTGGGATTATGTATGCGCTTACACAAAATTCTGGGTTAGTCAGCATGAGACACTTATAGATCCCTTGGGTACATATGAACCATATGCCTTCTGGGGCTTTTAACAATGAGGTTTTCTCAGAAGCCGGCACAAACTCTTGATTCAAACAATAATCTGTATAATTCGAGCCAGGTGAGGTGAGATTTCCTGTAAAGTAGCAAGTACCCTTCCCATGGAACTCTGCTAGGGTTAAGGATCCTTCAGTGAAGCACTCTTCTATTTGGCTCTGCTCTCGATGGGAATCTGTGTCTGTTAAGTTTATCTTGACAAATCCTCCTGTCCCTGTGGAATTCATCCCTAACCCTACATAGAACGGAGGCCGCGGGCTCAGGCACAGCCAACAAGACTCGGTTATCTCTGGCTGAGTTTCATTGAATAGTGGGAATACTTTCTCTACTATTCCTAGGGCATTCGCCCCTTGTCTCGGGTATATTTCATAACCTAGTTCAGCCTTGGTAGGGACTCGGGTTACTTCTTCCTTATGTATGCTTCCTTCCGTTACAGAGTCATTCAAGTTCTCGGGGCTACTGGTGATATCATAGTCAGGGCTGTTAGTGGTCCCAGTCGGAGGGGGCTGTGGTCTAGGCGGTAATCTTCCTTTACCCCTGAGCAGGGGTCGGCCCTGTATGGGCAGTTGCTTAACAGTAAAGAATGTACCCGGGTCAGTTCCCCGTACATAAAGTCTAAGTCCCCACGTTCTTCCTTTCTTCCACTCTAGATCGCTGGGATTGAGCACTGTAATAACCGTTGGGTTACAATTATCGGCAGCGCAATCTTCATCCCAGCCGTTTCCTGGGGTCTTCGTCTTTTCTCGCCTCAGCTGAATATGTCTGTCTTGCCCTCCCCCAGGAGTCCATTCAGTTCTTTCTACTAAGGTTTCACATCCCCAGTTCTTGCAATAGTAGTCTGGCCCTGACCCACAAGTCCTCCGCTTACTGGATGGCGGTTCTGGGCACCCATAGGAAGTAGTATACCACAGAGCCCTATTTAGGGAGCTGGAGTACCTCTCACAGGTGCCAGCATTGGCCCGCGTACCCCCTTGCAATGGGGCACATGGGCTGTTCGGCAACAGTCTCATATCTCCCCTGTAGCAAAGTTTATCATCAAAGAATTTTGACAAGTCTGTTTTTAAGGTTACGGGAGCGTTTCCCCAGGTGTGGTTGGAAGCTATTACTATGCCGTCTACAGTTCTTATTAGTACCCATTCCTGCTTCTCTAAGGAGCTAGTGCCCACTACCCCAGCAGCAAGGGTCAGGCACGAGAGAAGGTAAGCTTTAAGGGACAGTCTGGGTCCTTTTTTACTGTCCATGTTTGAGCTCCTCCCTCGGGATCGTCTGCTGGCTTGGTGTGAGAGAGATGTATCCAATAGGGCTTTTCCGCTACCTTGACTGCAGATGGCGTGCTCAGCAATACCTGGTACGGTCCTGTCCACCGTGGCTCAAGATTCCCCTGTCGGTGGTTTCGAACCCATACCCATTGTCCAGGTTCAGGTGGTGTACAGTTCTGGGGGCTGGTCGCTGGAGTTGACCACGCCCTGGCCTCGCAGCCGTCTGACCTCACTCCGGATCTCTTGTAGTGCCTGCAAAGACTTGAGGAAGTTATGGTTAGTCATGCTTATCTCTTCTCTTGTTACATGTGGTACCAAAGGAACAGGTTGTCCAAACATGAGTTCATAAGGGGTCCATTTTTCAAAATATGGGGTACATCTGATTCTAAAGAGGGCGAAAGGAAGGAGCTCAGTCCAGTTTTCGCCGGTCTCCTCTCTTAATTTAGTTATGGTTTCTTTTAATGTTCTATTCATTCTTTCTACTTGCCCTGAACTCTGGGGCCTATAGATGCAATGGAGTTTCCAGTTTATTTTCAGCTTAGCTGCTAACTCTTGTGACACCTTGGATACAAAGGCCGGCCCGTTGTCTGAACCTATTGCTAAAGGGATACCGTACCTGGGTATAATTTCTCTTAAGAGTATCTTACAAACTATAGAAGCCGTTTCTCCTCGGGTGGGGAACGCTTCCACCCACCCCAAAAACGTGTCCACTAACACTAATAAGTACTTGTATCCTGACTTACCCTGGAGTCATTTCTGTGAAATCTATTTCCCACAACTCTCCTGGTGCCTTCCCTCGGTATCTCACAAATGATGGTAATTTCTTATTTGATGCGTTTACCTTTGCACAGGTCTGGCACCTAGTTGTGACTGACTGGATAGTGTCTCTGAGATTAGGCCCAAGATAATATTTCTTGACTAGTTGTTCTAACTTATTTTGCCCTAGGTGGGTACTTCTATGAACTTCTTCAACGATTTGTCTTAGGACTCCCCGGGGTAGGTAAAGTCTCGAGTCCGGCAGCTCTATCCATCCCCGCTGATTTTGGATTCCTCTCAATTTCTCTCCCTCTTGTTTTTCTTCAGAGGTGTAACTTGGCTGGGTGGATATTCTTGGTTGAGGTAAAAGGGGGAAGTACAGTTTCTAGGGGGCCCAATGCTGCCTGCTTGGCGGCCGAGTCGGCCAAACGATTTCCTCTTTCTGCTGGGGAGTCTCCCTTTTGGTGTCCCTTGCAGTGGATAATAGCAACCTTAGCTGGCAACCATATGGCTTCCAGTAGAGCGAGGATTTCATCCTTGTTCTTAATGTCCTTGCCTCCTGCAGTTAGGAGGCCCCGCTCTTTGTATATTGCTCCGTGTACGTGGGCGGTGGCAAAAGCATACCGGCTGTCAGTGTAAATGTTTGCAGTTTTCCCTTCCGCTATCCGCAGTGCCTGGGCGAGTCCAATCAGTTCGGCCCGCTGGGCCGATGTTCCTGCAGGCAGAGCCCTCTGCCATAATACTTCGTCTACAGTGGTCACTGCCGCTCCCGCACGTTTCAGTCCTCTCTCTATAAAACTGCTGCCATCTGTGAACAAGGTCAGGTCGACCTTGCTGTATGGCTGATCCTTCAGGTCTGGGCGGGAACCTGTCACTGTATCGAGTACCTGCTTGCAGTTATGAGTTATTGTGGAGTCTGGCTCAGGCAAGAGGGTAGCTGGGTTGAGCGCCGTAGTTTTCAAGAACTGAACCGACGGCGGATTGAGTAATTGAGCTTGGTAGTGTGTCAACCGAGCATTGGACAACCAACGATCGGGGGGTGTTTTTAGGACCTGTTCTATGTAATGTTCCCCAATCACTCGGATGTCTTGCCCCAACGTTAGTTTGCCTGCTTCTTTGACCAAGACAGATGTGGCGGCTAGTGCCCTCAGGCAGGTGGGCCACCCTGATGCTACCCGGTCGAGCTTCTTTGATAAGTAGGCTACCGGTCTCTTCCACGGCCCAAGTTCTTGGCTAAGCACTCCTAGAGCAATTCCTCCTTTCTCAGCTACAAACAGCTGAAAGGGTTTGGCAGGGTCAGGCAAGGCCAGAGCCGGGGCAGACACTAATGCCTCCTTTAGGCTCTGGAATGCTTGTCTTTCTTTATCAGTCCACACAAATGATTCTTCTCTTCCCCGGGTTATCTCATGCAGGGGTCGGGCTAGTTCTGCAAACCCTAAAATCCAGAGCCGACAATATCCTACTGCTCCCAGGAACTCACGTACCTGTCGCTTGGTAGTCGGTTCTGGGATTTGTAGGACCGTCTGGATCCGTCGGCTGGATAGGGTCCTCTGCCCCCCCTGTAAGTCATACCCCAAGTAACTTACAGTTTGTGCTACTATCTGGGCCTTCTTGGCGGAGACTCGGTATCCCATCCGCTCCAGGTCTCGCAGCAAGTCAGCAGTGGCTTTTTCGCATTCTTCTTTGTCCTTGGCAGCTATGAGAATATCATCTACATACTGCAAGGTTACAACCGACGGGTGTGTGGACCGAAAAGCTTGCAAGTCCCTACTGAGGGCCTCATTAAAAATGGTGGGGGAATTTTTTAAATCCCCTGTGGTAGACGAGTCCATGTGAACTGACCTACTAGTCCGTTTTCAGGGTCATTCCACTCGAAGGCAAAAATATCTTGGCTTTGTGGGGCCAAGGGGATGCAGAAGAAAGCGTCCTTTAAGTCGAGGACAGAATAATAGGTGTGTGTTGGCGGCAAGGAGCTCAACAGGGTGTACGGGTTTGGCACAGTAGGGTGAATCGTTTCTACCCTCGCGTTCACCTCCCGCAGGTCCTGCACAGGGCAATAGTCCAGTGTCCCTGGCTTTTGGACTGGTAGCAGGGGAGTATTCCAAGCCGACTGGCACTGGCGGAGTATCCCAGCCTTGAGCAAACGCTGCAAGTGCTGCACGATCCCTTGCTTTGCCCGTGCTGGGACCGGGTATTGCCGTATCCTCACTGGGCTGGCCGTACTCATTAACTGCACCACGACAGGGGGTTGGTGCGCCGCCAACCCCGGGCGGATTGGTTTCAGCCCACACGCCAGGTATTGTTGTCAATAGCTCATCGGGGACCCCTACAGTTCCCTCCTTACCTTCCTGGAGGGTAGCCACTAGATATTCTTGAGACAACGGTACTGTTATCTCAAAGTTGACTCCGGCCTCTCGATCTTCTGAAGAAGAGACATCGGCTTGTCTGAAAGTAATAGTGGCTCGAAGCTTCTGTAAGAGGTCTCTTCCCAGTAACGGATAGGGGCAGTCTGGAATTACTAGGAAAGAGTGTGTTATTGTTCCCTTTCCTAGGTTAGTTACCCGTGCGGTGGCCCAAGGATATGCTTCTGCTTTGCCTGTTGCCCCAATTATTTTTGTGGTTGCCTTCTGCACCTGCCCTTGTGGCTGCTTCAAGACCGAATAGGTAGCTCCTGTGTCAATCAGGAAATCTATAGGTTTCCCTTCGACATTCAAAGTTACCATGGGCTCTCGGGAGCTGAGTGGGATAGAGCCCCAGCCCCGTCAGTCAAGAGTCTGTAGCAGTACCGGAGGCGCCATCTCGGGTTCTTGTCTCTTTTTCAGCTTTGGACAATCCCGCTTCCAGTGCCCTTCTTCCTTGCAGAAGGCACATTGGTTCTTACCGATGTCTCGCCGGCCTCCCGGTCCCGCTTTTCTACCCTTGTATTCTTTTTTCTTTCCCTTCTCAGGCTGCTGGGCTGCCAATAGAATCTTTGCAACCTCTTTTGCCCTACCTATCTCGGGATCATCTCTATTGACATAAACTTTCTGGGCAATTTCTAATAGCTTACTCCTGTTTTCTCCCTCAAATCCTTCTATTTTCTGCAATTTCTTCCTGATGTCTGGACTGGCCTGTGTGACAAAAGCTATGTTCACTAGTCTCCTGTTTTTCTCTGCCTCCGGGTCCAAAGGTGTATAGACTCGATAAGCCTCCATTAATCTCTCTAGAAATGCAGCCGGTGACTCCTCCCGGCCTTGGATCACTTCACTGACCTTGCTAAAGTTTGTGGGCTTCCTAGCAGCCGCTTTCAGTCCCCTAAGCAGAGCCCGGCGATACTGGAGGAGCGCGTCCCTTCCCCCCTGAAGTGTTGGGGTCCCAATTTGGAGGCTGAGAAGGGAGGATGTCCTCAACTTCTCTCCTCCCTGCTAGGGTTTCTCCTTCATCCCCTAAAATGGCCTTGGCTGCCTCCCTAACAATTCTATCTCGTTCTTCAGAAGTGAATAGGGTTTGCAGTATCTGCTGGCAGTCATCCCACGTGGGCTGGTGGGTCCTAAAGATAGTCTCTAAGAGGGAAATCAGCCCCTGAGGCTTCTCAGAAAATGGGGGGTTCTGATGCTTCCAATTATATAAATCACTGGTAGAAAAAGGAACATAAATCAAGCGTGGAGGGGCCCGTGCCGGTGCATCCGGTGCTGGCGGCGCCTCTCGCAGGGGCAAAATGGCCGCACCGTCCCCTCCCGATGCGTAGGGGGTTCCTCCTCTCATATGGGGTGGGCTCAGAAGTCCCCCGGCGCCTCCGGCAGCCGTGCTCCCACCTACCATAGGGGCAGGTCCGATTTGACTGGAAGAATCGGGTAGACTCTTAGGGGGATAAGGGGGAGGCGCGTCTGCCGGATCTAGAGAGTCCTCTAGTGGTCCCGGCAAGACTGGATACAGTCGGGACCTCCCTGGTTTAGGCCCGGGGTTAAGGCCTGCCTTCCCTCTACCACCAGGGGTGGTCACACATACCGCCCTTTTCCCCTTCTGGTTCCCCTTCAAACACTTCTTTATATAACCCGGCCGTTCCGTTGCTATGTCTACCCATACATCTATGTATACAAATTGGTCGGGATGTGGAATCCTGTAGACAGTTGCGCACACTGCAAAAAGAATTGGTAAATCAAAAGTGCCTTCGGTTGGCCACCCCACATCGAAAGTCGGCCATTCAAGTTGGCTGAGTGTACGCAGGAACTCCGAATCGGGTGGAGGACCGCCATATCCACTAGCTCTACCCTGGAAATCTGAAAAATTCCTCAACAGGCAGTCCAATGGGGAGCCTGGTACTGACTCCTGCTGGCCCATTCTGATGAGGTCCGGGAGATAGGAGAAGAGACAAACAATACAAACCAACAAGGCGACAGACAAGGCAATTTCCCTCACACACGAATTAGGCATGTAATTCAGAAGTCAACTTGTGACACAATGCGCAGACAAAACAAGACACAGAACACAGTCGCTCGCCTGCCTGGCCTGCCCTCTCGCGAGGTGATGTCGATCTTGGCTAAGGCTGCCCGATCAGAGTCCGGGTTAGACTGCCAGCCGTTATGCCATATGACCTGACACAGGAACCGCAGGTTAGGGCCCTCTCATGCCCCGTAGGTTTCCCTGTGGGGCTACAAACACAGTCACTCACGAGCTCGTTCACTCACTCTCAAATATTTCAATCGCAGCGCAGCGCAGCGCAAAAGTTCCTTCTTTAATGTGACCGGTCACGGAACTTTCTTTCCCAGTAACTGAAAAACTTCCAGGCGGCGTCCCGCCTCTTGGAAGCCCCTGGGTGGACTGCCGGCAGCGTCCCACCTACCACCACAGGGTAGTTTCCCTACTCCGGAGCCAAAACCGGGAACAGATAGAGGATCCTCACTACTCACCCGGCTCGAGCTGTCTCTCCAGTCTCCGAACTGTGATCTCGCTGGGGCCTCCAAATGTTGCATCCAGCAAACTCAAGAATGAATATTGGAGACTTTCAGGGTACCAAAGATGTTACTTTATTGGCCAAGTTTAACCTGCGCAGGGGCGAACTCTCCAAACGTGCCAGAGGCACACGGCTATTAGGAGCCACAACTGAGAGCCGCGCCCAGCGCTTACAACTACGTCCTTATATATGGGCAGGTAAGCAAACGTTATACAGAAGCAGACGTGGCAGTTAGTAATTCGCTTACAAAGACCGCGCGCGGGAATTTCAAACCAAGCATTCTTTCATAAGGCGGGAAAGCTGTTTGTTCATTAACCTAGTAATCTGGCTCCAGCCAGCTAGCCTTCTATCTTCTTACTAAAAAAAAAACTACAAAGCACTGCTTATCTAGCCTTCCCTGGGGGAGAGCGTCTGCTAGATACAGGGAGCTCTGCTTACTGTACTCTGTCTCTTTTATCATTTCTTATTTTAGCTACAATGTAGTTCTCGCCTATTAAGGTTAAACTTAGTTCTTAATTTCCTTGTTCCCAACAGTGAAAGAGGAAAAGTTTGAGAAATTAAGGAATTCATATGTAGTTCAACCTTTAATATCTGTATAATTGTGAATGAAAAATAATTTTTCTGTGATTATATGGCAACAACAACAACTTCTTCACTATGTGGTGGTGAAGATTCAATAGAATATGTATAAAAGTGTTATTTTTGAAGTCAATTTTGGTCTCCTTTTCTTATATATTTTCTCTGCTTTTTTTCATGGAATGTTGTATGGTTTTATATCCAAGCATTATTCTTTATATTTTTAAAAAATATTCTAGGCCAGGTGGCGGCGGCGGCCTGTCCAGCTATCATGTAGGTTCCTGGGAAGAGAAGCTGGAGGAGGAAGCCCCGGGGGCACAAGGCGCGGGGGCGGGGTGGGGGGTGGCACAGCAGCACCGCAGGCCGCCTGGAGCCCAACGTGTGCTTCTGGATCACGGAACGCCAATCTTTTATTCAGAGAGTTCTTCAGTGGACAGAGTTATTGGATCCTACAAATTTGGTCATTTCAGTTGGAAAAAGAGAGAAATCAAGGCAACTATTGCTAACAAATGAGGATGCATCTATTCATGACTTGGGGGACCAGCGGGTACGTGAAGCTTGGAAAAGAAGTCTGTCAACAGTGCATCCTGACAACAGCAAACTGATCCCTGTTCCTTTCCAACTTGCAGCTCTCCTGCCTTTCACTAGGACCATGGTATTTTTGTCCCTGGTGCCGGGGAAAAGCCTGAAGTCCATGATTTTACTTCAGCTGTCTTTCTGGAGCTACAGCGTAGCATTCAACGTCATCAAGGGAAACGCGAGTTACAATCGTCACCCATATGAGAGTGTATTACTAGGGGTAAGAACGGTTGCTTCTACAACCTGTTTTGCATTATTCCCTCATTTACTCCTCATAAAGTATGAGCTGAAAAACATTTTGCTAAGAAGAACCTTGCCTGTCGTCATTCTCGCCCACGTCAGTGCACTGAATGTTCTTGCGTCTCGAAGTTTGGAGACCATGGGGTCATGGACAAGGAAGGCAAGGTCATAGGTTATTTCAGAAAAGCTGGGGCAAAGGCTGTTAGGGATACAGCCACATCTGGAGCCATGCTGTTTGGTACCTCAGCTTTGATTCCTGAAGTCGTCTCACATTTTTATAAACGGACCCAGTTATTCGGGCGGCACCCGCTGTCCTTGTGGACCTTGAAGCTGTTTGTACCATCTCGGTCATGGGGCTGATGGTGCCTGTTTCTTTTAGCGTGTTCCCCAATATCGAACAGATACAGTGTAGCAAACTGGAAGAGGAAATCCAGTTTGCAACAGAAGACACAGAACTCTTCTACAACAGAGGGTGTAGGGGTGAGTTTTAGGTGTTTATTTGGTTCCTGCTAGAAAACCTTCCTCTCAAGGTCTCAGTTTCGAGGACGCTGCCAGAGGTCGCCTGGAACCCCCTGAGGTGTCTACACAGATGGATGGCTTACAGGCACATGTGCCCAGACCTTGTCAAGGCTCATTGGGCCTGCCGTTTTGAAGCCTGGATGGAGGAGGAGAAATGGCAGGCTGTCCTGTCTGGCCTGCCCCCACGGGACTGCCGAGGGGGTGGGTGATGTTCAGGTTCAGTTTTCGATCTGTCAGCCCATGAAATGACACTGTGAAATTACTAATAAACTCATCTCAAGTTGAAAAGAAATATTCTATGTTTAAATAGAATATTATTGTGACAATCAACATAGAAATGATTAAAATTTTAAAAGAAAATAAGTTTTCATTTTTATTTTTAATGGCTCATTTGATTTTTTTATTACAATTTATACCCTTATACCCTCTGCATCTCCACCCACTGCTCTTCCCCCCACAGTTACCACAGTGTTGTCCATGTCCCATAAAAGACAATATTTAATGGTATTCTGGAATTTACTTTTAGTCACCATAAAGCAAAGATTTACAATAGCATATTTATTGCTATTGCATTGTGTGTCTACCACAATATCATACAATTGCACACTTGAAATTTGTATAATTTTATTAACCAATGTCCCCCAATAAATTTAATTAAAAATAGTTTTAAAAATGCTTCTCTTTCACCTCATTAAAATCTTCTCTACTTAGATACACTGGGAAAACCTGAAAGATCATAAGACATGATTCCCCAGGCCAAGTGATCTCACAATCCCAGATCTCTGGAGCCTCCCTTGGTCATTACCCCCTGGGGCTATAATTAGCTGCTGCTCTGTTGTATAGTCATTTGTGTGTATCTTCAATGATCCTGCATTGGACCAGTTAATTTTGGAAGAACTGTATATTTCTGAAACCTTAATGATGCTGTTTTCTTGGTTCCCTTTGCAAAATAGGTAGGTGGGAAGGACAGAAATAAAATGTATAGTGAGCAAATCAGCTATCTAAAGTCTTTATGTCTCAGTCATGCAAAAATTAAGCTTCCCTTAACTCACTGTGATGTCAGCTTTCTATGTGGCTGGTTGCTGCTGGCAATAGAGAAGGATGGAGCAGGAATCAGGCCCATGAATGAGAGTCACTTGTGTGGTCAGTTGAAGGCATGAGACAGTGTATAAGGGAACCTGTACATCTTACCCTCAAAGAATGAGAATAAAATTGTGGAAGGATATCAGGGAAGACTCAGAGTTTAGCCTATGACTATTTATCTTTCTCACCAAGTTTCCCAACAACTGTTTGACCTCTTGTTTTAAAATTTTTATTTTTTCCGTTTCATGTGCCCTCTTCTTTGGTCTGGGGTTTATGGTCACCCTTGCCAGTTGGTAGGTTTATCCAATGCCTAGAACCTTTCATCATTTTGTAATCTTCAGACTCACCTTCCATTCCAGTTTTCAGCCCTCATCATCCTAATGGTTGCAGTTCTTTTTGACTGACTGGAAGCTGTTGAGCATTGTTGGTGTGTTACAGCAGAGTGGCAAGTACTGTCTCTGAAAACTGTCATCCACCCTCTAATGGGAACTTTCCACTAATTCATTCTTTGACAGCTCTTTCACATTTTTTATTATTCATTTATTATATTATTCAGGTATCAATTAATCCATCTCATATTTGTTATATTGTGTGTCTACAATAACCAGGTCCAAACTTCCCATTTACAAGGTGGAAAATTTATGGGGATTGCTGTCTCAACTTCTATTTCTTCCCCTCTGTCATCCCATTTTCTTCAATCATGAAATTACTCTGTTTCTTTTCTTTCTCCTTTGTTTTCCTTCTTTATTATTTTTTAAAATGTAATTAATGAAGTTTGTTTTTTAGAGCAGTTATTAGTTCACAACAGAATTAAGCAGAAGGTACAGAAAGTTGTCATATACCGATGTTATGGTATATGATATACGATGTCATATATGATGTTTCACACACACACCCTCCTCTTCTGTGAACATCCTTTTCCACAGTAGTACATTTTTTATCACTGATGAACCTACACTAACGTATCATTATCACCTTGCAGTTGTACATCTTATAGGTTTTGACAAATGTATAATGACTTCCATCCATCACTGCAGCATCATATGGAATAGTTGCACTTCCTTACAAATGTTCCATGATGTCTTTGTTCATACCTCCCTCTCCTCTAATGCCCTAGCAATCACTAATCTTTTAACCTTCTCCCCAGTTTTGCTTTTTCCTAAATATCATATTGTTGAAATCAATCATATAGTATGTATCTTTTCAGATTGACTTCCTTTATTTAGTAACATACGTTTGTTTCCTCCAAGTCTTTTCACGGCTTGTTAACTCATTTCTTTTTAGCACTGAAATATATTCATTGTCTGGATATGCCAGTTTATATGTCCACTCACCTATTAAAAAACATTTTGTTTGCTTCCATGTTTTGGCAGTTATGAATAAAGTTGTTATAAACATCCATGTGGTTTTTGTGTGGACATACGTTTTCAATCCCTTTGAATAAATACTAAGGATCATGATGGCTCAATCTTGTGTTAAGAGTATGTTAGTTTCATACGGAAGTGTCAAACTGTCTTCCAAAGTGGCTGTACCATTTTTTTCACCTTCACTAGCTTTCTGTTCCTGTAGGTCCACATTCTGGCTAACATTTGGTGTTGTCAGTATTTTGAATTTTGGCCTCACCATTAATTCCTTGTACATACTTCTTTATTGGCTCCCTATATATATTTAATAATTATTTTTTTAGTACAAGCTTTCTTTCTTCATATTTTTCACATTTTTTATTGTTGTTCAAAAGAAACAAGCAAACAAAATATAACCAGAGACATTGAAATTAAGAACAAACTGACAGTAACCAGAAGGCATGTAGGAGGGGGATAATGTAGGAAAGAGGGGGAAGGGTCTTAAGAAACATGTACTTCATAATTCTTAAATATTTAGATTAGTTTCCAATGTTAAGTACAATCTAATCTCTACTGTCTTTCTCACCTTATTTTCTTCTGTTCTCCAAAACAGTATCTATGCCGTAGGCATTCTGTATGCTTTGTTATCAACCCAGTGAACACTAAACTTACCTGTTTTTCACATTTTACCACCTGGTTAAAATGACTTCTTTAGACATTGTATTTATGTTGTATAACCTTTACTATCTTTTAAATCTATACAGAACTGCTACAACTCTTATGCTTCCTTTCCTCATCACTATAGTTATTTATCTCCACAGTTCTCATATGTTAGAGGGTCTACTTCATTTCCACAACATGCATCACCTAGTGTCTGGTATATATTTATATAAATATTAGATATGGATGTACTTAGTACAACATGGTCTATCTTGAGATCTGGCATCTAGTAAGTAAATCTACTTTATGATTTGTATTTATTTTTTTAAAGTATAGTCACTATACAATCTTATATTGGTTATATTAGTTTAAGGTATACCACATAGTGATTAAACATTTTTACTCCTTACAATGTGATGATCCCACTAATTCTTATTTACTGACTTTTTGATAATTGTCATACTGAGTGGTATGAATGATATCTCATCGTGGTTTGGATTTGCATTTCCCTGATGAGTGGTGATGTTGAGCATTTTTTCATGTTTGTTGGCTATCTGCATATGTGCTTTGGAGGAATGTCTTTTCATGTCTTCTGTCCATTTTTCAACTGGATTGTTTATTTTTTGTTATTGATTTTTATGAGTTCCTTATAATTTTGGGTATAACCCCTTATCAGAAATATATTTTTTATTATTTTTTAAAGATTTTATTTATTTATTTTTAGAGAGGGAAGGGAGGGAGAAAGAGAGAAATAGAGAGAAACATCAATGTGTGGTTGCTGGGGGTCATGGCCTGCAACCCAGGCATGTACCCTGGCTGGGAATCGAACCTGCGACACTTTGGTTCGCAGCCCGCTCTCAATCCACTAGAAATATCTTTTGAAAAATGTTTTCCCAGTCAGTAGGTTGTTTTGTTTTGTTGGTTTCCTTCACTGTGAAGAAGCTTTTCAGTCTGGTGCTGTCCCACTTGTTTACTTTTTGTTTTGTTTATCTTGGTCAATGGGATATGCCCAAAAAGATAGTACTCAGACTGATGTCTGGTAGTTTATCTCCTACGTTTCCTTCTAGGATTTTTATGGTTTAAAGCCTTATAAGTAAATTCATTTTAAATTAACAAAGTGAATAAGTGAAAAGTTAAGAGTGAGAACAGAGCATAAGGAAAACTTTGGTCTTGAGTAACCATCTGACTTTATAATGTACCTAAAATATCTCTCTTTTTTCCACTTACATAATGAAAGTGAAAATAAAAACTAAAGAATTTATACACCTCATGAAAAAGGCAATTTAGGAGAAAAGTCTGTTATCCTGAGCAGCTAGCTGGTATTGTGTGGTTTGGCTTCCTTGCCTTGGCAGATGAACACTGCTGTGCACTTTCAGAATTCTCTTGAAGTACCTGCCTTGACACTTTCTTCCTTTTCTATTCCCATTTATCCTGAATGACAAGGGAAAGAGCCAGTGTTACCTGATGTGGTCAGAAATAATTTAAAGTTTTAAATATGGAGAATTGATGTTTATGGCATCCGATTGTTGGGGACAGCAGTGGTGGAAGGGACACAGCCTCATTGGAGCATAAAGCTTCTTTCTGCACCCATCAGGCAGTCTTTGATTGGTATGTCCACTAAGGAGCAAAATTGTTATTGGGAAATATGCCTAAATGGTTGGATGGAGGTGTACACATGAAGGCTTTGCCTCAAACTAAGTCTAATTTCCATACATAATAATGGCAGAATCTGAATTTGAGGAATGATTTTCTATATTTGAAAGTCACACATATAGATAGTTTTCTGTATAGAATCAATCCCATTTTTTTTGTGCCATACTATGTGCTGGTATGTCATTTATTTATGTGTTATGGCATTTATTTCTCATACACCCTAAAAGTGAGGT